GTTGGGCCTAAATTCCTTCACCTCACCCCTTGGGAGGAAAACCTATGCTGTTCACAAAATTACTTGTACTTAAGTGCTGTGATGCCTCAAAGGCCCCTCACAGCCTTTGACCCGCATTCCTGAGCAGTTGTTCCACGCCAGCCTGGCCTGGAGGGGATGATGAGTACAATAAGGGGGTGTCTGGTTGCTGCAGGGGTCCAGAAGTTGAAGGAGTGGAGGGCTTCCTGGAGGAAGGGACATCTGAGTGGCATCTTGAAGAAGGAATAGGAAACGGCAAAGAGTCTCTGGTTGGCGGCATGGCTTGAACAGAGGCCTGGTGGTTTAAAGGGAACTGAGTGTGAAGAGGAGGTGGGGAGAGGAGGCTGCAGGTAGATACAGGAAGATTTTACCTGAAGGCCTGGGGGCTCAGCAAGGCCTTGCTCCAGGGGAGGGATGTGGTGAGATTTGTTTTTTTTTAAATCTTTATTGATGAGAGTATTACAGATAAAGACTTTACCTGAAGGCCCGGGGGCTCAGCAAGGCCTTGATCCAGGGGAGGGATGTGGTGAGATTTGTTTTTTTTTTAAATCTTTATTGATGAGAGTATTACAGATGGCCCCCTTGATCCCCCCTATTGCCCCCCTCCACTGAGTTCCCACCACACCCCACACCTTCACCGCCCTATTGTCTGTGTCCATGGGTTATGCACATGTGCATATACTAGTAAGATCTTCACTCCCCACTTCCTTCTGAGATTGGTCAGTCTGTTCCATGTTTCCATACCTTTGGTTCTATTTTATTCATAAGTTTATTTTGTTCATTAGATTCCTTGTTCACTTATTTTTATTTTTAGATTCAATTGTTGATAGGTATGTATTTATTGCCTTTTTATTGTTCATGTTTGTTACCTTTTTTTCTTCTTCTCCTCCTTCTTCACCTTTCCCTTCCCCTTCCCCTTCCTTTTCCTCTTCCTCTTTCTCTTCCTCTTCTTAAAGAACACTCTTCAACATTTCATATAATACTGGTTTGATGGTGATGAACTCCTTTAGGTTTTTCTTGTCTGTGAAGCTCTTTATCTGACCTTCAATTCTAAATGATAGCTTTGCTGGGTATTCTTGGTTGTAGTTCCTTGCTATTCATCACTTTGAATATTTCTTGCCACTCCCTTCTGGCCTGCATAGTTTCTGTTGAGAAATCACCTGACAGTCGTATGGGCACTCCCTTGTAGATAACTGCTTTACTCTTGCTGCTTTTAAGTTTGTCTTTAACCCTTGGAATTTTAATTATGATGTGTCTTGGTGTGGGCCTTTTTGGGGTCATCTTGTTTGGGGTTCTCTGCACTTCCTGGACTTGTAAGGCTATTTCTTTCACCAAGTAGGGGAAGTTTTCTGTCATTATTTCTTCAAATAGGTTTTCAATATCTTGCTCTCTCTCTTCTCCTTCTGGCACTCCCATGGTGCGAATGTTGGTACACTTGAAGTTGTCCCAGAGGCTCCTTACACTAACTTCATATTTTTTCTTCTTTTTGCTCTTCTGATTGGGTATTTTTATTTCCTCATCTTCCAAATCGTTGGTTTGATTCTCAGACTCCTCTACTCTACTGTTGAATTGCTGTAAATTATTCTTTATTTCAGTTAGTGTATGCTTAAATTCTGACTGGTCCTTTGTCATGTCTTTGAAATTCTCACTAAGATCCTTGAAAGTCTTATTAAGTACCTTGAAGCTCTCATTAAGATCCTTGAGCAGCCTTATAATCATTGTTTTGAACTTTGTATCCAGTAGTTTGCTTGCTTCCATTTCATTAGGTTCTTTTTCTGGAGGTTTCTTCTATTCTTTCATTTGTGACATGTTTTTTGGCTCTACATTTTGGCTGCTTCCCTGTGTTTGTTTCTATATATTAGGTAGAGCTGCTATGTCTCCTGGAATTGGTAGAGTGGCCTTGTGTAGTTGGTGTCCTGTAGAGCTCAGTGGCTCAGCCTCCCCAGTCCCCTGAGCTGGTCACTCTAGGTACGCCCCTTTGTGGGTTGTGTGCACAGTCTTTTTGTCGTTGAGCCTTGATTGCTGTTGGCGTCACTGGGAGTACTTGACCACCAGGCCAGTTGGCTGTGAGGACCAGCTGCAACTACAGTGGAAGAGCTGATGTGCAGGAGACACCCCTATGGAGCAGGACTTGCTTCAGTGAGACTTTGGTGCTCACTGGGTCTGCCCCTTGAGTGTGTCACTTGTGGATGTGTAGAGTTGTAATCTGGTGTGATCTGAAGCTATCCACTGGGTGCACTGGCTCTGGGGCCTCCCGGGAGGTGCAAAGTCAGCCACTGCCTGGAGCCACCTGACAGGAGCTACAGAGAGATCTGCAGATGGCTGCTACTTGTATTGGGCTTGGAAGAGTTCAGGCGAGGCCTGGCTGTGAAACAAGGCAGGCAGTGCTAGTGCCAGGTCTTGGGCCTCTTATTGATAGGTATGTGGCACATGGATGTCAGCTGCTACTTGTTCGAGAGAGTTTAGGAAAGTCTTGAGATTTGGTTTTGAGAAAGGGTCCTGGCTGTCAGATGGATGGTGACCTGGGGTCGGGGCAAGGTGGTGTGGAAGGTGCCCAGGGCCAACCCAAGATGGAAGAACACTTGTTACAGAGTAGCCAGCTGGGAGAGGCGGTGCTGGTTAGGTCTTTGGTGGTGAAACGATGGCCATTACAGCTGATCAGATGTGTGGGGGACTGGGGAGGAGGAAGGTGACTCAAAGGTACAGCTCAAGTGACTGGGGCCAGGCTAAGGGAGCAGAGAAGGTGGAGCAGGCCCAGGCCATTCCGACAGTCAGAATCTGAAAGAACAGATTTTACAAGTAGTCTTGAAGGATCAGGTAGTGATCTGGAATCTTGAGATCAAAGGGAACTCCATCACATATCAGAATCCTCAGAAGACGTCTCTGTCCCCATCTGCCGTGGGTGTCTGGACGGGGAGTTTGAAGGTGGCAAAAGCAGCCAGGCTGTTGTGTGCAGACCACACTGGGAGTGCTGCTCACTCGGCCAGCCAGCGGCCCTGGGAACTGTCTTGCATGCGCCACACCGTGCCCTCGTGCACTCCAACTTTTACTTAGAAAGACACCGAGTAGGGTGCAGATTTGAGAAATGAAATTCTGGCTCCTACAGGTGATTTAGCCTTGAGGCCCCAGGGATGGAGTGACCACTGCCTTCCGTTCTGCCACTCCGTGGTCCACGAGCCCTCTACCAGGGCGGTCCCTTCCACGGGCAGCGGACCCGCCCGCCTCCCTCCTGGGACAGCCACCACGGCCTCCTGAACTCCTTCCAGTTGTCACCCATTTTCTTTGTTTCTTTTATGGAAAAGCTTCCTGAGAGATGGCTTCTGTTTCCACATTCGTCCCAGACCCTTCCTGACCCCATCGGACCCTGGTCACCTCGTGTGGCTGAACCTGCAGCTTGATCTCATCTTCCTAGTCTTGACCTCATTTCCTGTGGCCAAGCTGACTGTTCCTTCCTCTTCCTGAAGACATTTCTCCTGGTGTTTGGGCTTTTCCCTCCTCCCCTCCCCTCACTGGCCATTCCTGCTCACTCTCCTTGGCTGGCTTCTGATCTGGAAGCATTGCCTGCCCTGGGTCCACCATATTCCCCTCTCTAGCTCCCAATCCTCCCCTGAGCTCCAACCTGCATCTCCAGCAGTTTCTGGGGGTCTTAATAGGCATCTCACAGGTTCATGGCCCAACCGCGCTCCTGACCTCTGCCCCGGACCTGCTTCCCACCCGGTGCTCCATCTCAGCAAATGGCACCGCCGCTCATTCATCCAGCTGCTCTGTCAAAATTGGAGCCATCTTTGACATCTCACTTTTTTTTTGAAAAATGACTTTCACATTTCTATTCTGTGACATCTGATACAAACGCTGAGTCAGCCGCATGTGCGAGTGATGAAGCATATTAGTGAAGCGCTTGCTGTGACCCACCGCCAGCAGGGAGCATTCCCGTGCCTGCACCCCTGGGTGCTCCTCCCTAGCCATGACCCCTCTTTCCGTCACAGCTGCACCCAAGCTCTCCCAGGTCCTGTTGGCTCTGCCTGCAGAGCACATCCACGGTCCACCACCTCCCTCCAACCCAGGCCACCATCGTAGCTCCCGGGGTCACTGCAATAGTGCCCCTTCCTCCCAAACTTGCTCTCCACACAACAGCAGAATGACCCCTTTTCATGATGAGTCACTTCCTGTCCCCCCTCGAGGGCCTGCGCTCACCTCCTTGCTGCTGCTCACACAAGCCAGGCCCTCCCACCCAGGCCCTTGGTTCTGGCCTCTGCCCCCTGGCTGTCCTGGGCTCCTTCTGACCTCACAGCGGCAAGCCCCTTGCACCCTGCCCCATCCCGCCGCTCTGCTTTCTCTTCCCAGGCCCCTTCTCTAGCTGGAGCTAAATACACATTGACTTCCCCTTACTTATTATTGTCTCTGAAGTAGGATGTATGCTCCATGGACTGTGTTGTGTCTTCTGCACCAGGCACGATGCCGGCTGCATGGTAGGGGCTTAGAAATCTATTGACTGAGTGTGTGTGCGTGAATAAATGATGGAGAATGTGAGGATGAATGAGTGAGCGGACATGCACATGAATAAATGAAAGATGGAGCCTGGTGAGCAGGGAAGGGACAGGAAACGAGGGCTTTTTTTCCTGGACCCCCACGCTGTTGTTTCTCGATTTCTTTTCTCTCCTGTGATTCTGAGTTAGAGAAAACTGTGATGCTGACTTCATATCTCAATGCAGTTCTCCTCGCTGCTCACCACTCGGCGGCAGGAACTGACTTGTTGCTTAGGTTTTAAAATCTGGGGTAAAAATAATGAAAACGTGCACCTGTTGTCCGTGAGGTCGTTCAAAGACCAGATGAGTCTCAGAACTAATAATCCTCAAAATTAATTAAACCCTCCTTCCCAATTATGAGAGAATGGAGTGGGTTGCGTGGCGGCGGGGAATCTGGGTCGGCGCTCCCGGCTGGGTCTGGGGCAGCGTTGGTGAGTGTCTTTGTCTTCTCTTTAGGGCTCCCACCAGGACCATGAGCAGCTAAGATGGACACATCCGCCTCAGCCGCTGCGGAGAAAAAAGAAGGCAAGAGTGCGATCCCGGAGGGCGCTGCTTTCTCCGACGCGGGCAGGAAGACCTCTGCTCTGGCTGTGGCCGCGGCCGCAGCGGCTGCCCAAGGAGGTACTTTCTATTTTGCACACTTGGGAGGGCAGCAGGGGTCTCCTTCATTAGCCCGTCAGGGTTTAATTGGACTGGTGGCCCATGTCATCGGGCAGGCGTGCTGGGTTTATGGAGGGTGAAGAGGAGGGCGCCCTGCTCCCGGATCCTAGGCACTGTGACGGGTGCCTGCAGGCTTTCCTGAGGTCTGGCCACCCCGATCTGCGGCAGGGGGACTGGGCCGGCTCAAACAGGAGAGCCTGAGAACTCAGAGGGGAGGGGGGAAGGGAGGCCGGGGGCTGCTGGGCAGCCCTGGGGTGTGTTCACTTGGCACATTTGAGATGTGCCAGACACTGCTCCTGCCTCTGGCCCGCAGGGACTCTTTTAGAAGTAATTGTCTCTTGATCCCTTCTGGCTGTAATTAGAGGGTCAGGTACAGAATTTAGTATCCTTAGGTGAATTTCTGGCCAACTTAATTATAGCAGAAGGATTATGGAGCCACAGCCTCTCATTTTACTGCCCTGGAGAGTAGGAGAGAAATACTCTGCTTTCCACTGGCCGTGCCAGCGCCCCGGTGGGAAAGTTTGGCGGGAAGGCGAGACCTCCCCTTGTGTCTGCACAGTCCATCTGGAGGCCACAGAACTATTTCTGTCTCCGAGGAATGGAGAGACTTAGATTTCTTTTCTTTCCCTTTTATTCAAGTGCATTTAGTCACGCCCTGTTGCTCTCGCTGCTCAAGCACAGCTCGGCAGCAGCGGGACATTCGCCTTGGCCAGCGGGACGGACGGGTGGAGTGTGGGCGTTGCCCCTCACTTTGATGTGAGCACAGATGGGTCGCTGTCAGAGTGCAGGGCCCGGCCAGGAAGTTGGGCAGCACAAGGGTCTGCGTTTCGAACCAGCGCTGGGATGGCGTGAACAGGGCGAAGGCCTGAGCTCCTAACTACCTCAGATGACGTGGGGGCTGCTGTCCACGGGTCACGCTGGCGCAGCTCGGGGTTGGAACTTGGGGAATCGCACGACACTGGGAGGACTCTCATGCGGCGTGGTGTCCAGGAGGCAGACGGAAGGGGGGGGCAGGTCAGCGCCAAGAGCCTGATGGTGGATTGGAGGCTGGCCTCCCATCCCGGCCTGGCTGTGTCTGCACCTGGCCTGCTCCCTCCTCTGGGTCAGGGCCTGCCCTGCCTGTGGTGACTCCAGCTGTCCCTCTGCCTGATGCACAGGCCCAGGCGCCTGAGGCCTGAGGGAGCGCCAGCAAGCCTGCTCAGCGTGTCTCTGCTGGGCCCTCAGCTGTTTCTCCCTTGCCAGGGCTGAGTGGCTTATGAACTGCCCACGTCATTTACTGCCATTTACTGTCGTGTCATAGTAGCAGGGAACAGACTTAGGCAGTACCTGGGCAGTAGCTGGGGGAAGCCCCTCCGGCATCAGACCTGCTGTCACCAGTGGTGCAGCAACAACAGGAGCTTGAGAGGTCTGACCTGAGGCAGGGCAGGCAGCTGCCGAGAGCTTGGAGTGCAGCAGCTCCAACAGGCACCTACCCTGCTCCACCCCACCTACCCTTACCCCAGGGGGCCAGCCCTGCCCACCCCCAGAGGCCCCTGTCGCCTATTGCCCAGGGGAGCCCTCCCGGGGATGAGTTCCAGCAGAGGGTGATGTAACCTGTCAGCCCCTGGCAGGTGGCTTGTGTCATTGGAACCAGCCCACCATGTGGCTCCCTCTGCCCCCCTCCGAGCAGCCTGCCGGGGAAGGGCCCTCCTGGAGTCAGGGAGGAGTGGCTGTTCCTGCATGGGGCCATCAGAGCATCTGGGAACAGGTCCCTGGTGCCAGGGGACCATGATGCCCACCTTCTGCGGATGGCGCGCGGAGCGCCTGCTGGTGTGGCCCAGGGGTCCCTGGCTACGGTTCTAGGTCAGCAATATCCCTGGGTCCCAGTGTGACAGGCCGCTCCCTTCTCGGGGCCTCATTCTCCTACTCAGGGCATTGGACCGATGTCTCTGAGGTCTGGTGACATTGGAGCTTTATTGCATCCTAGCAGAGGTGGCCGAGGTGCTGAGTGACTCATGGCATCCAAAGTCTCACTCAGGTCCCTTGATAGCCAGCTGGTCTCAGCACAGTGGGAATGAGAGAGCGTGACGGTCTGAGGGAGCAGAGGGGACGGAAGGGAGGCGGTGTCCTCGGGGACAGAGCTTGGAAACCCCGTGTGGAGCTCTTGGGTATGAGGTGGAGCCATCTCCTTCACGAGCAGTTGGAGCCTCCCCTTTGCCACCTTTCCGTTGTGTGGGGGAGGCTGACATGAGGTGGGGAAGGGACTTGCTCAAGGCCACCAGCCGCTCCAGCAGAGAGCGGGGTCTGGGGCTCAGGGCACAGGGTGGGAGTCTCCTTCCGGTATGTGCTTTTAGACCGTATGAGGTAGGGCCAGTCTTTCCAGGTGTGAAGTATGAATCATACATGTAGCTGCTCTGTGGTTACAGCAGACATATAACGTGCTTCCGCCTGCCTGGCTCAGGGCACCTCCTGGGTAGTAGCTGCCCCTGCCGTGCAGCGCAGGGAAGTGGTAGGAAGCAACCCAGACTGCAGCCAGGTCGCCTGACCCTGGGCAGTATGTGCCTCAGTTTTTTCATCTATAGAATGGACATAATAATAGCACCGACTTCATAGTGTTGTCAGGATTACTCGAGGAGCCCATGTAAAGTGCTGGGCACATCAGCTCTATCTGAGGTCCAGCTTAACTATGAGCTTTCACCAGTTTTTCTCTTCTCGGTCTGTGTGCTGTGCCTTAGAAAGTCTGCCCTTCACTAACCCTTGCTAGCTGACCCATTGAGGCCAGACAGGTGGGGGGAGGCTTTGATGTCCGGTGTCTCCCCACTCGAGAGTGGTGGAGGGAGTACAGGGCAGGAGATCAAACCTGGGTCCCAGCCCTTTGCCGCTGGGCCAAGGCTGCCTTGGACACGTGTGCTTGGCGGCCCCAGGCCTCTTGCACTCATCCTTCTCCCCTTCACCCTGAGGGTGGAGCAGCCCAGAGGTCTGAAGCTGGCCTCGCTGTGGAATCTCAGGAGACAACTGTAACAAATGCAGATTCCAGGCCACCCAGACCTGCGGAGACAGGGCCTCCCAGGCCGGGGCCCGGCCACATGCATGTGTGACAGGCTTCTCACTTGCTAGATGCAGCTGGACTGGACCCCGGGACGTGGCGTGACCTCACGGTCACAGGGCTGAGCACAGCGTGACTCGGCAGAGAGCTCCCTCGCTGCAGGAGGCCTCTGTGCCCCTGGAACCCGCACCGCCACTGTTTTGTTCACTGGCTCTGCGGCTTCTTGGCAAGTTTCTTTGAGGTGCATCTTTGCTCTGCAGTGAGGCATCACGTCTGTCCCGGAATGCTTCTCAAATTCAAACACCGGAATGTGTAAACAGGCCAGACCGTGAGCATTCCTGCCGAGACGCCCGGGGCTAGGGGTCCCCCGCGTCATGTGGCCTCACCGTGTCCTGCCTGATCAATGCCTCGAGTCCCTGGTGTCCTTGCCCCTCTCTGTTTCTGTGCCCCCCCCCCCCCCCCCCCACCGTGTGGGCAGAGCACTGTTTGCTCACCATTGAGCCCTGCCCCTGGTAATGATGGTTGAACGAGGGGGTGAATCTGACCCTATCATGCCAGGTGTGTGCCCGGTGGGCTGGTGCAGCCAGCTGCCTCTGCTGGCCCTGCAGTCCCCTGGCACCAGGGTCATTGGGGCTGGCCTGATCCTTGGCCCCTTCTTCCCTCACGAGGCCCCTGGAACTTACCAAGTGGGCCCGCCTCCCTGGCTTACCTGCGCTGCTTGGCTGGGGCCACACGCTCTTGCCTTGGGCTGGAAATGCACTCAGATGTGACTAAGTGGTCAATTATTCTTATTTAAGTGATTTCCAGGACTGCCGCTGATGCTGCTTCTGAGCTTGTTTGAACAGCCCAGCCACACGGAACAGCCAGTTCCCTTCGGACTTTTTCTGGAGAGCAGAGCTCAGTTCCCCAGCAGCTTGGCATACCCAGGAAACGGCACAGCGTGGTGGCCGGGCGTCTTCTCTGTGGGTCTGAATGACTCCTGATGGCTCGCTGGCGTCTCCTGGGGTGCTGAGGGCTGGAGGCCTGGGCGCAGGGGGAGGGCTGGCCCTCCTTTCGGTCCACGGCAGAGTACACGAAAGGGACTGGCTCTTCCGAGCTCCCCACCTGTTAGCTGTGTGTCCGGGGGCAAGGCAGCTCATGTCTCTGGTCTGTGAAAAGGAGATAATTCCTGGCTATGGTGAGGTGGCGTGGAGAGTGTCTAGAGGGCTAGCAGAGTGCCTGCCGAGATGGGAAGTAAATGTTAGTGACATAAACTGGGTGAGCATTCCTTCCGCATAGCCTGGTCTCACGCACGACACTGAGACCTCATGCCCTAAATGCCGCTCAAAGCTGCCATCCAAAATCAGACTGGATGTCCCTTTTCCTCCAGCACAGCAGACCTCTCCCCTCCCCTCTTGGCCCTGGGAGACCCTCCCCTGCCTGGCTTCTCTCCTTAGTCGAGGTGGCCGGCATACCAGTTTGACGTGGGACCCACGCTGCTGTGTTCTCTGGCCAGCACCGGGAGCTGGCAAGCTCTGCCCACGCAGAAGAAAGCATCTGAGGGCAGGCACGGGGCTCCTGCTCCTGTTCTCTCCCTGGGCCTGGGCCACGCCTCCGGGGCACGGCCTCAGTTCTCCTGCTTCATTGTGTTGCACATGTTAAACTATTACAGTGTTGATGGTGGGGGCGGGCTTTGAAGCTATTTCTAAGTACAGCAGTCCCCCTTTATCTGTGGTTTCACTTATCCGCAGTCAACCTCAGTCTGAAAATATAAAATGGAAAATTACAGGAATAAAAAGGCAAGTTTTAAGTTGTGTGCCGTTCTGCATAGGGTGATGGAATCTCGTGCTGTCCAGCTCCATCCCTCCCAGGACACGAATCATGCCTTTGTCCAGCCTCTGCACGCTGTCCGTATCCCTGCCCGTAGTCACTCCGTAGCCACCTGGGTTACCCGATT